CAGAAACTAAGAATATGAGAAGGGAGAGGGATGTTAAATGAGCAGAGAGCTAAAACAGGCAATAAAAAGGGTAAAACAAGCAGGGGAAACTTTACTTTTCCTCAGTTCTCTAGACATTAAAGGATCTCAGTCTGTAAACTGTTCAGAGGCCTCTGCAAAAGTCCAAGTAAGACCTAATTGAGAGATGTTGGCAGTTAAAATGGAGAGGATGGTCATGAAAAGATATCAGCAGACATAATCTAAATGAAGTAAAAGAAACCTTGTCCAAACATGAAGTGTATATTTATGTATGTGATGTCATTCTCTAGTCTCTAGTTTCTTATACTCAAGTTTCCACCCTTTAGCCCATTCAATACCACTAAATCCCCAAAGCAGACCTTTCAAACTCCAATGACCACAGAGCCAAGCAAGTGACATAAATCAATAAAGTACACCTGGATTAAGACATACAAGAGTACAAATATTGTACAAAAAAGAATAATGATGTAAGAAAATAAGTTTAAAAATTAAAAAAATAAAGACACCAAAGAGTAGTAGAACCCTTAACCATTCTAAAGGTTTAAAAAGGAACATAACTCAGGTCCGACTGACCACTGTCATATAGGAATAAAGGTTGAATGGTATCAGATCCTCTGACTTTCTCAAGATATACTAGAATTTGTGGTTTTTCTGTGGAATTTTCCAAACACCATTACATCATGTAGGCCAAACAAAAATCTCTGGGTTGGATCTGTCCTATGGGCAGTTTACAGTCTCAGTCTCTAAAACTTGGCAGCAAAATAAGTAACATGCAGGTTTTCAGGGTTAAAAGAACAAGAAACTTGGAAATCTAGCATATAGGCTGGGGTTCGACCAGAAGATAGTGAAAAAGGGTTTAACTTTTAGAGGCAAAAAGTCTAAAGGACTCAGACATCAGAGTATGACAGACATATTAGAAAAATCTGAGAGGAATTCAGATAAAGTTTCATTGCAAAGGAGGTATAGAAAGAAAAGAAAACCAAAATGTGCATAGACCCTACTTGATTTAAAAAAAATGAGGGAGGGGGAAGAGAGAAAATATGACACACACAAACAAGTTATTTCACCTCTTCATGGTTATCACACCTCTTTATCTTATATAAAGAGGTGTTTATATAATAAACAAGGAAATGTTTCTTATTCTTAAAGACTCATAGAACCCACTTCATAGGATTGTTGTAAGGATTAAATAAGGAATCATTCATACAGTTGTCTTTATCCCTAGCAAATAATGCTTAAAAATATTAGTCACTATTAATTTTTTTTAAAGATTTATTTATTTATGTATACAAGAACTGGGGTACAGGCCAGAGATGTGGGGGGGTTGTGAAAGGATTCCCCCGAGACAGAATGGGGAACAGAACAGGCAGATCAACTGAAATACACTGCTGAGGGGAGCAGCGGGTGAGTCAGGAGAGGTCTGCCGCACCAGGTGGGCAGCTCCCTGGCCGTGGACCAAACTCGCGCTGCAGTAGCTGCAGATAGCCTCACAGGTTGCGTCTTAACCCCTTGCGCCACCAGGGAGGCTCTGCTGTTTATTATTATGAGGCACTGAGACGTGAAGTAATTTGCTCAAGACCACATGACTATTAAGGTGTTTGCCTTCACTTGTATCCGGGATGTATAGCTTCAGATCTTCAACTCTAAACCATCAAACTCTTCTGCACCCCCTTACCTCACTATGCTAGTTTCTCAATCTCTACACTGAGATGCAAGACCACATGATAACTAAAGTCTTTTTAAGAGTTGATGTTTTATTCTACCAACCAGTCCTCTAATCAGCTTATTTCAGGCTTGCAGTAGAACAAATGTGACCCTGCTCACACTCCTATGGGCTACCAAGCTAAAAGCAGAGGGGTACAGCTTAGGTTTGTAATAGGCCAGAGAAGTCATTCCAGCATGGAATAAATAATGGGGTAAGCTAGGGAGGAGTTTATGTGAGATCTCTTTATTGTTTCAGGGAGATCATTTTTTTTCTAGGAGGGAGTCTCCCGAATAGGCACAGAATTCACTCATATGCCTAAACTATTACGAATTGGAAGTCACTTATAAGCTGGTAAGGGATCACAATAGGTTTTAAATTAAGAATCTTTAGAACACCTAACTGCTCCTATCCTCCTAGGGCAAAGGGTCTCAATGAGAACCTGGTAAAAGCTCTCTCCCTACCCTTACAAAAAAATGCTTTGTGTGTTTACTCCAATACACAAGCAATTACAATTTTATCTGCAATTATAAAGGGTTCACAAACCCCCTAAACTTCCTATAGACTTTAGGTAACATAGATCTATAGTGTTCCAGACATCCTCCCAGGGGATTCAGAATTGCCCCAAGATCTGATTCGGGGTTTCCAGGCAGCTGTGTACAGGAGAAAAATCATCTATTACAACTCAGCATAATTAATCCTACATGGAAAAAGACAAAAGAGCTTTCTCTTCTTCTCCCATACCAATTTATACTAAGGGAATCTGAACAGAAAAATTCTATTACTTAATCCACAAACATCAGTAAATCAAAGAATAGGACTCTAACAGTATATCATGGCCCTTTTCTGCCTCACCCATAAAACCTTGTAAAAGTTAAAAGAAACAGGTAAAGACATCCTAGTTCCCATGGTAGTGTGCTCCTCCTCTTATTCCAGGAAAGGAATCAGTCAAGATTACCAATTAGTTTTTTTAGATGACTATTCTCCCCTACGGGCTTTTAAAACTATAAGTTACCAAAGAAACCACATAACCTCACCCATAACTGAAGAAGTAATCTAAACAAGGAGATAATATTTCCCTCCATAAGCCCAGAAACATTTGAAACAGAGTCTGGAGAAACATGTATTTTCACGTGCAACTGGTAGGTTTGCAAATCAGTGCAGTCTTTGGTGATGGCAGGACAATCTGATATCAACAAAAATATAAAAATGCACCCCATTGATGTAGCAATTACCTACAAATATTTTTGCAAAAGTCAGAAAGATATATGTGGGCCTCCCTGGTGGCACAAGGGGTTAAGCACCGCACTATGAAGCGATCCCCAGCAGGCTAGGGAGAAACCACATGGCGAAGCAGACCTCTCCTGTCTCGCCTGCTGCTCCCCTCAGCAGTGTATTTCAGTCAGTCTGCCTGTTCTGTTCCCCACGCTGTCTCTGGTGAATTCTCTAACCCCCCACCCCACATCTCTGGCCTGTACCCCAGCTCTTGTATGCATAAATAAATAAATCTTAAAAAAAAAAAAAAGAAAAGAAAGATATATGTGTAATTAGGTTCAATGTAGCATTTTTCATAATGGCCCAAACTAGAAACAAGAAGTCCTGGTTGTTAAGTACATCATATAAATGGAATATGCAGTCATTAAAAAAATGTGCTGTATACCACATCTTCTTGATCCAGTCATCTATTTTTGGGCATTTGGGTTGTTTCCATAGCTTAGCTATTGTAAATAGTGCTACTATAAACATAGGGGTGCAAGTGCCCTTTTGAATTAATGTTTCCGTATCCTTTGGGTAAATGCATACATTATGCAAAAATGAAAAATGATGTAAGAATTATATAAAATAATTTATATAAGAAATGAAAAAATGATGTAAAAATAAATATTTTAAAAATGTGAAAAAAATAAAATATGTGCAGATCTGATGTGAAAACATACTCGAAGACAGTGGGTATATCTAAAAGGTTCCTTTAGTTGAAATTTTTTAAAGGATATATACACATGCTGTTTTATGTATTAAATTGTATTCTGAAAACATACATAAGAAACCATTCACTCAAGTTACCTTTGGAGAGAGTGACTAGAGACTAAGAAGAACCACTATACTGATGTACAAACATTTAAAAAAATATAAAAAAAAAAAAACGAAGATAATCTTGACATGTGATATTCTTTTTTTGTTTTCATTTCACTTCTATGGACATAAACCCTAAATCTAATGTTACTATAAAAATAAAACAACTATCTCTCCTATGCTTTTTTAAAAAGAAAGAATCCATGTTTAGTGAGAAGACAAGAACCCAAATACAATGCACAGTAGGAAACTGGTGGAGATGGGGGAAAACAGCACAAGAATTAGAACACTCAGCACCCCCTTCTTCTTTTAAGATACTGCTGACATCATGAACTACTCAAGCTTTCCACTGGGAATGAAGAGCACATGGCCCCACTCCAGTTGCCAGCTTTTCATTATAATTATAAGTATGGGAGATAGTAGGTTGAGAGAAGGCTGATGTAACTAGTCCAAATCTTGCATTTTGCCTTTTATAACTAGACATGGCAGAACAGTTGTTCATAAAGAGCCTGAAGTGGAGAAAATGTCAGAGCTCCACACAGGAGATAGTCTTCCTAGCAGAAAACACGATCCCTACACATAAGCATTTCAGCAGCATAGAAAAGCAAGAGCCAGTATACTGCAAAAGAGAGGGGACGAGAAATCTCTGCTGCCCTACATAGCCTCAAGGAACTCTGTACAATACTAGGGACACCCTCTGGGCCATCAGATCTGCTGCAATAATTTTAATCAACTCTGACTGCTGTATGGAAAGAATTAGTAAGCACTAAAAATCACCAAGGAAGATATCATCTGTAATTCATAGTTCCTTTCATAGGCACCGCATGAATTAAGTCACAACTTCACTTACTTTTCATATGATTTTACAATATTATTTTACAAAATGAGAAGTGACCTACATGTCAAATTTCCAGAGGAGGTGACGATGCATGTAAGTCATCTATAAAGCAAGTCATTATAAGTTTGCCCATATTTGCCCCTGTCTAGAATTCAGATTATATCACTCTGCAGCAATCAGTGTGGATTTTTCACACCGCCTGCCCATTGGAAACAGGGCTTCTATGGCTTCAGAGAGATCAATACATGTCAGGAGACATACAATTGAGATTAACTGATGAACAGGATCTCAAAACACAACCTTTGCTGGCTGACCACATTGCCTGAGAGTACTGGCCAATTTTAATAGTTTAAGAATAAAGGGGCTCACCTCTGAGGTTTTCGAATATCCCAGAGTCCCACTCCTTCCTTTGAATTGGCTGTGGCCAATAGCCTGGGCTCCACAGGATTAAACATGACACTGTGAAAGGCAGATGGATAGTTTGCCAGACAGAAGGGCTCTGTGAAGAGAGAAATTATGTCAGTTCATTTCAAGCACCTTCAGGCCAATGGAAGGCAAACAGCAGGAATGTTAAAGCAAGTAGAAGCACACCCTTTAATAACCACCCAAAGGTCTGAGTAGTACGTCATGCTGGCAGTCACCCTTACACAAGGTCCCCGTAAGTCCTAGGACACACTTTCTGTACACAGAAAGTCTGAAAATCACAACTTAAACAAAATTTAAGCTATAACACTCAGAAGTATATATATAGTTCCTACTCAGATCCTGTGGGAAAAAAAAGAAATGGTCACTGCAGATGGGAAAGCAAGCTGTTTTACAGTAAGTGAAAATGAATTCCACATGAGCTGAAAAAAAATGTATGACCAATTACTGGTAGGATTATTATACCTTAATCCAAATGTACTAATTTTAAAAATTAAAACTACATAGATCTAATGAAGACAAAGTAAGTCAATGACAAAAAATGAAGACAATCTAGTGGTGAGTGAAGCATATACACATATTGAGATGTGAAACTGTACTCGCAAAGTGGTACATCAATAATATTTAAGACTAAATCAAATTAAAAAACAAAGATAAAAGAAAGTAACAGTGCAATTTACCTTTCTGGTACACACAGTTTCCTAACTTGAAAAGAAAATAACCTCAGTCTAGATTTTTATTATTTCATTCCAACACTGGAATAAATCTAAATCTTTTAGATATATTAGCTGGCTCCAGGTGAGATATGAATCACTGCTACGTGGGAGGATATACGTCAGTGGAAGTTGTTACAGACAGAAAACACTCCCAGTCTATGATTTCCACACAAGATACTTCATAGGCCTCGGGGCAGGGGAGTTCTCAGTCCTCTCCACCACCAGGCATTTCAGACAAAGAATTTCACTTACCAAGCACTGCTTACAGCTACCTTATCTGCCTGACCCTAAGAACAAGATGCTCTCAGAGCTTTAGCCTCAGTAGTGAACACAGCCCAGGATGTTAAATGCTCAGAATATAAAATAATACAAAGACCCTGATCCTGCGAGACAATGCAGGCAAGGTAGTAATTCTATGTATCCAGGTATATCATGGCAAAGCTGCCCCCAGGGAGCTGGTGAGGGTGGCACTGAGGGTAGCACTGGAGGAAAGTGTCTTTGAAGACAGGCAGAGTTACAGACAGAGATCTCTCTACAGGAAATGAGTTGAAAAGATGCATTTCCTGGAGAACTTCAACAAAACAAGTTTTTCATTTTATACTTAAGAGACTCAAAAATGCATTTGGAGAGAAACTCACCCAGACATTAAACAGACAGTACTTGCCATTACTTAAGTTCCCATACACAGTTAAAAGGAGGTTCTGTGGTTATTTCTGTAAAATAACAAAGCTGAAACTAGGATATAGAAAGTGTGTCTAACACCCACATTCTCTGTAATTAATGAAGATTATGTGTGTAGCCAGCACCATGCCCAGAGGTGACTCCTGGTGGCTGCCTTCTGTAAAGCGGCACTGTATCTTCTGCTTCTTAGGATGGTATACAGCAAAATTTTGTGGCATTTACTACATGCACAGGGGTTTGTGGAGATTCACATGTGGCTGGAGAACGACTGGCAGAGATGTCTCACTTCAGACAAGTTAGGGGAAAGATGGAACCTCCAAAGACATCTATCTATACCCCCATGTGAGGTTACTTTCCCTTTGTATCACTGCTATCCTGATTATTCAGGTTATAAATTGAGTATGCAGTGAGCCTGAAATCAAACTCTTCAATACAATCCAACAATCTTTTGCAGTTATCCTACCTCCATGGGGAGACTCCCGAATGTCCCAGATGAGAACCCGGCCATCATCTGAGGAGCTGGCAAAAATGTTGTCATTTACTGGGCTCACTGACAAGCCATACACAGCATCTTCATGAGCAAACACATCCAAGGTCTCACTGCTGAGAGAGAGAGCAGAAAGAGGTACACAGGCAAAGTGCAGAGTCCCAGTCCTCTAGTTCCTAGGATGGTGTTCTCTTTCATTTCCAGGGGAAAGTCAATCTAGCTAAATTCAAAGGATATTACATGCATTAAAAAATAGGTATTCAATTTTCAGGTAAAAGAAAATTCTAATAAGCTTTTTATAGACTTCACAATAAGCTTACTTTTTGCCTGCATAAGCATATTCAAGAGTGACACAATAGATGAGTTTCATGTTTCATTTACTGCAGAATGCATTTGCTTGTATATAGATTTGGTGTGATACTTGAACTCTAATAAGAAAAGGAGGTTTAAAGCAGTCAAATTTGATGCCGGCAGAGGTAAGAGGCACCTCCTATTCATCAGGCATGGTAAGTAAGAGACCATGCTGCCTAAGTTCACATTCAGCACCACTTGATCTTTTTTTTTTTTTTTAACATCCTTGTTCATTTTTAAACAATATTTGCTTCCCCCCGCCCCCTCAGGTGCAGTCCCGATGGAATTTCCTTCCCCAATGCCCCCATGCACCATCACCTCAGTCCCCTATTCTCTTCCCTCCCTCTGATTCCTCTCCCTCCTCCTCCCCTGCAGTATGTCTCTGATTTATAATTGTCTATTTTTGCTTTGTTGTGTTTTATACTGTTATTTTTTTACACTGTTGTCTTATTTGGTTCCCTTATTTTCCTGCTACAAGTGAAACCATCCGATATTTTTCTTTTTCCTTCTGGCTTATTTCACTAAGCATAATTCCTTCTAGCTCTAAGTTAACTAATAATCTATGCCTCAGTCTCCACATCTGTGAGACTATAAAGTTATCTCTTTTTTAAAAGATTTATTTTATTTATTTATGCATACAAAAACTGGGGTGTAGGCAAGAGGTACCGGGGATGAGAGGATTCATTAGAGACAGAGCAGGGAACAGAACAGGTGGATCCACCAAGACACACTGCTGAGGGGTGCAGCGGGCGAGACAGGAGAGGTCTGCTGCACCATGTGGGTTAGCTCCATGGATGGAGATTAAAATCATGCTGTAGTGGCTGACCATAGCTTGACAGTATTGAGACTTAACCCCTATGCCACTTGGGAGGCCCTATGGTTATCTCTTAATAAAATTGTGAGGTTTAGATGAATTAACATATACAAAGCACTTATGAAAGTGTCTTGCACTTAGAAAGAACTCAATAAATAATAGCTATCATCATCATTATTATTATAATTATTTTTATTATATTTCCTTCTCTTCAAACCTTGCCCTTCAAATTTTCACCTGAAAGCTATAATTTCATGCCAACTTTATAATCATTTTTCTTGTTTTAATCAAAATTTTATTTCAAAACTATTACAGGACTCTTATTTTGGAAAAGAACAGTTGGTTTGTGCTATTTTCTTCAAAAATTATTTCAGTCTAGAGAAATATTTGCCTCTCTTCATCTGAAAAATAGTCAATCACCTTCACATACCAACAAATTATTTACCTTTCAACATCATGGAGGATAACTTGCTCATCATTTCCTGCAAAGGAAAAACAAGCAGACATGTAATAATTCCTTCAAAGTAGTCCCTACCCACAAAACAATTTAATATTTTAAAGACTTCAGGGAAAACATATGAAAAGAATGAACATTAATACAAAGTAACAGTGTAAATTAGAAAAAAGGTTTATAAAAATAATTTGAGGATAAGACATTCCTACATAGAATTTTAAAAAGCATGACAGCAACCAGGTATAACATAATAAGTTTCCAAAAATATATTATCCAGTGGATGATGTGGAAAAAACCACCTGTACCATTAAGGAAAAGATAAACAACCACAGGCAAATCAATTCATTCATATAAGATAGTTCTTTTTTTTTTTTTTTTTTTTTAAGCAAAATGCTCATTAACTCTAAGACCTGGAATAAAATCTGTAAATTTACTATGTCTCACTGTTTTATTTGTGAAACAGGGATAATAAGTGTACCTACATTTCAAAGTCATTGTGAAAATCAAGTACAATCAGAATAAGGCTAACCACTTTGTAATCCCCCAATACATGTTTGATACTATCCATATCCTCATCATCTCTTAAAACACTAAAATGTGATTCTAAATGCCAGGAAAGTTTTTATCCACAACCTTTTTTTTTTTGCATTTCTCTTTATTTCATCAAGGAACCTAAAAATACTATATTCATGGTCTAGTCCTACTTTCAAATGGTTTATATTGTAAAAAAATAAAAACCTGAATATGAGAAAACAATAAGTAAAAAACTTCCCACTCTGTTGAAAATAGAGCCAATGGTCACTTAAATAGAAAGTAAAAGTATCAGTAAGGATGTAGCCCAGGATATTTTAAAATTCTGGCTATCAACTGTGGCGTTCTTCTGCCCACCTGTGACTATACAGGTGCCTCTCTTTTTCTTTCTCCTTTTCCTAATAAACCTGCATTTTAAAAATGTAAACTAAATAAGTTTTGTCATGGGTACATACCAAGTAAATCAAACCTCTACTAATTCCTACTCAATAACAGGCACAGCATGAGGTACTGAGGCTCTAAGTTTCTTGGAAGAACTCACAGACCAACTGCACAATCAATAGCAACAAAATCACTTATTTTGTAGCAGTGGAGACACTGATAAAGGAGCAATCATGTGGCAGAAGGGGAAAATTTTTCATGGGGAAGCAAACATTTGAACAGAAATTCAAATAATTCAAAACTCTTACCAATGGAAGATGAGAGGGGTAAAATCTAATCATGACCCAAGGAAGAATACCATGCACACAGGCACAGTGCACCTAACATGGCAATGTTTTATTGGGCTAGAGTATAAGACTCAGAGGAAGAAAGATGAGGCCAGAGAGGTAGACTGGGGTTTAGTCTTTATCCTGTGGGTACTATAAGGCAGAGATTCTCATGGTTGAATCTAAAGGAAAACTGATAATAGCAATGAATTAGAAGGATGGTTAGAGGCCAGTAGCAGAAATCACAGAAAGTCACTGCAATAGTTGAGGCCAAAGAGAGGACTTGAATCAGAGCAGTGGGTGTACAGAGAACAGAGAGGCTTTCGCCATAGATCTGACAGTCTAGTTGGAAAGTAACAAGATGAATATATGAAAGAAAGGCAGGTCTGAGGACAACTGAGATTTCTATTAGATCAGACCAAGTAAAATTGTCATTTTTATAAGTTGAAGTGTCAGCAGTTTCTTTAAAGTTAAAGCTAATAAGCTTAAATAATTGGGTGAATGGTGATAACAACTGAGAACAAGAAGAAATTTTTGTGCAGGGAGAGGACCAACAATCTTGATTTTAGATCTGTTGCATTTAAATTGCTTTTGGAACACAGACATATATATTCAGTGGAAGGAAATGGTTGATAAACTCTATTTCCAAGAGGCTGGCTGGAGCACAAGTCAGTCCAATTGTGCCCTAACACAATGATTTTCAAATGGGAGTCATTAGGGGTCATGGCATCAATTTGAGTTATAAGTTTTAAAATCTATAAAAATAAAATAGAATTTAAAAAAAAAACAGGTATCCAACACATACTTAAGTTAGGGACTATTTTAACTTAAAATAGTGTGTTCCTGAGTATCAGATTGCAATATGAAGTTTTATACCAAGGAATGAAAGAGCAAGAGTGGAGTGAAAGAAAGAAGGAAGGGAGGAAGGGCAGAAGGGAGAAAGGGAGGAAAGGAGAGAGAACTTACTCTAATACATGTATCTAAACTGCTGTAACACAGAGAGATAAGCTATGGGAATCAGTAATTCCACAGCTCAATGAGATAAAAGAAAAAAATAAGGGAGTTATTTCGGCACTCCTGTAAAATCCCAGTCATGTGAATTTCCCAAGGTGGAAATCTCCCTTCTTCTCACCTCCAGAGAATACTTTGGTGTTTCCACTGTTGAAAGCCAGGCAAAAAATGTTAGAATGATGCTCTCCCTTCAGTTGTATGGGTTTGACTCTGGAGTGGATAGCCTGTTCCATGTGCCATAAAAGAACCCGGCGATCATCTCCTCCTTGAGAAAGAAGCAAGAATTTAAAGTTAAAACAGCTGACATTTAGTTTTGCCAACTTGAATCCCATCCTATTTAAAACTTCATCTCCCCAACTTGATGAGATTCTGACCCAGGTACATAAACTGAGGGTTCCAGTCCCTTATCCATCAGTAGACACATGGCCTTTAAGTCACTCATTTTTTCCACAGGAATTAAATTTTAAATAGGCACACCAAAATGGCAAGGATAAGCAGTGACACAGTCCTTTTACTGTCTCCACCTGCCCTTTCTTCCTCAATTAATAGAACCTGATTTGGTTTCTAAATGCTGATAATGAAAGAATTCTAAAAGCAATGTTGCTAGAATACTAGTTTCCTTTTTTTAAAAATTGAGGTTAAATTGGTTTATGGCACTGCATACTTTACAAGTGTAGGTGTTCACACCTCATCAACTGTATGTTACCATACCATGTCTACCACCAAAGTACTTACAACCCTCCACCACAGTCCATGGGTCCTCCAACTTTTGCATCCACTCCCCTTCCCTCTGTTCTGCAGGTGGATTCCCAGGGCTTGTTTTGGTTTAGCCTTGTCTGTACCTTTGCTTTGTTTCTTTATAGTTCACATATAAGCAAAATCATCCAGTATTTGTCATTCTCCTTCTGACTTATTTTGCTTTGCATAAACAATCTACTCCAGTTTCAGCCATGTTTTTGCAAATGGCAAGATTTTGTCTTTTTGACACTTGAGTGGAACACTAGTTTTCAACGCACTTTCAGTGAATGTGGAACACTGTACATATGACAAGTAAGGATCTGCCTGTCATAGTAGCAAGATCTAGACAAACCCCTACTCTCATAAAGCTCAGTCCAGCACTTACCCGTGTATAACTACTCTTAATAGTCTAGGCAATATTACAATATACTACATGTGTCAGCTCCAATAATTAAATATGTATATTATACATATTCTTTATACTTGCAGATGCATTCAAAAATGGCAGGATAAACAAGCTGTTAACATTGGATACACTATTTCTAAGGAATAGTATTAAAAGAGTAGTAAAAGACAGATTGGAGGGTTTTAATTTTACTTTACACATTTGGCACTGCTTGACTTAGTAACAAGTCTACCAATATTATATTCCTAATAAAAACTTAAGTTACAATAGGAGCAAGCATTGGCAACAAAACATAGTAAGCGCTCTGCTTCTGCCTCCCTTTTCTCCATTCAATAAGAGAGTCACAAATTATAGCACATATACAAGAGCATACCATGGAGCCACTAAATCAGTAGCTCTATAAGGATAACTCAGAAAGCCATCCAAAGCCCTTTGTTAAGTGGGAAAATGAGGTGTAAAACAGTATGTGTACCAACATCCATTTGAGTAAAGCAATGCTCCATGACAGCAAAGACTCTTGTTAATTTGGTTCAAGGAGGAACTCCCCAGTATCTAAATGAGTGCCACCAAAAGTAGGCATTAAATGAGTATGTTTAAACTTACATATCTATACATATCTGGAAAGCCATTGAAGAAGTTATTCATAATGGATACCACCTCTAATAATAGGGCTTGGAGACTTTTTTAAATTATAAAATATATATAACATGAAATTTACTATTTTAACCATCTTAAGAGTACAACTTGGTAGCATTAGGTATATTTGCACCTGTTGTACAATCACCATCACTGTCCATCTCCAGAACTTATATATTATCCCAAACTGAAACTCTGCACCAAATGAAAATAACAATCCCCACCCCATAGGCCCTAGTAAGCACCATCCTACTTTCTGCCTCTATGAATGTGACTGCTCTGGGCACTTCATGTAAGTTGAATTATATATTTGTCCCTTTTTGTCAGGCTTGTTCATTTAAAATGTCTTTCATATAGCAGTGTGAATCACAACTTCAATACTTATAAAGGCTGAGTAATATTCCATCACATACACACACACACACACACATATTGTTTGTCAATTCATCTATCGATGGACATTTGGGCTGTTTCCATCTTTCGGCCACTGTGAATAATGCTTGCATAACAATTTAAGAACACGGGTATAACAAATACCCAAGTTCCTGTTTGCAATTCTTTAGGGTAAAATTATTCAGAAACTTTAACATTTTAATTTTAGCTTTATGCCTTCCCATCCTACTTTTGCAAGAAACATGTTTCCTTTTACAATAAAAAAAAAAAATGAAGATATGGCAACCAAATCAATATTATTCTCCCTCCCCTAGAATGAAATTGCCTTTGCTCCTTGAGTTCCTTTGTTTCTTAGGTTCATTCTTCCTTACATTATTGGGCAAGATCAAGTTCCGTGTCCTCCTCCAAAGTATTTCATTGTTGACTGGACATGATCCTTTAAGTGTGCCCCACAGTGTTCCAGGTTTATGATTTGCCTATTTCAACTATGAATTCTCTGGCCTGGGCTGGTATATCTATTGGGTGGTTGGAAAAGTCATGACGTATTTTTGCTTGAAAAAATACATCATGACTTTTTCTGGCAAACAAGAAATCCTGTATCTCTTACAAGTTAAGGTTGTGAAAATAAAGATTAAGGGTTTTGTTATTTTAATGAAAAGTGACACAAAGGAACTTTTTACCTCATTAATATATTTAGACAGGCCATAAGCACTTTAGCTTTTCATAAGCCCTACTTCTATTGCTTTTCCCCAACACTGAGGTCACAAGTCAGGGACCTATCATTTCTTTTGCTACTATGTATCTAATATTAGAGAAATACTTCTCTGTAGTGTCTTTATGAAAAGTAAACAATTAAAAAATAAAGAGGCAGGGCCTCCCTGGTGGCGCAGCGGTTGAGCGCTGGGTTGCGAGGCTGCCCGTAGCCTCTGCAGCGCCAGTTCGATCCCTGGCCGCTGGGCGAGGGTCCCACATGGCGCGCAGACCTCTCCTGCCGCCAGCTGCTCCCCTCAGCAGTGTATTTCATCACTCTGCCTGTTCTGCTCTCCACTCTGGTTCTGGTGAATTCTCTCACCCTCCCGCGCTTCTGAGTGTACCCAGTGTGTGCATAAATAAATAAATAAACAAATAAATAAATAAATAAATCTTTAAAAATAAATAAATTAAGAGGTTCACCTGTTTCTTCTACTCATTTATGTTTTCATTTTAATCTCCTGAGTTTAGTCTCCTGAGTTCATCAAATAGAAAATGGAGACCACACACCAAAATGGCCCTATTCAAAGCAATTTATAGATTTAATGCAATACCTATCAACACCCATGACTTTTTTTAAAGGAAATAGAACAAACAATTATCAAATTCATAGAGAACCACAAAAGGTCCTGAAGAGCTAAAAAAAAATCTTAAGAGGGAAAATGGAGGCATCACACTTCCTGGCTTCAAACAATATTATACAGCAACAGTAATCAAAACAGTATGGCACTGGAACAAAAATAGAAACTCAGACTAATGGAACAGAATTGAAAGCTCAGAGATAAATGCATATAAACATGGACACTTAATCTTCAACAAAGTAGGTACAGCCATAAAATGGAGAAGGTGTAAGGTGCTGGGAAATATGGATAGCCACTTGCAAAAAAAAAAAAAAAAAAAAACTGATATAGCAAGACCAATATTTAACTCCATACTCAAAACTTAATTCAAACTGGATTAAAGATTTGGACATAAGAACCGAAACCATAAAATACTTGAAAAAAACACAGTACAGGGCGTCTGCCACAAATATGTATGCAGGAATTCCCCTCCCAACAGCAAGGGAAACAAAAGCAAAAAAAAAAAAAAAAGTGGGACTATATCAAACTTAAAACCTTGTACTTCAAGAGAAACCATCACAAAACAAAGACAACCTACAATGTGGAAAATTTACATACCATATATCTGACAAGGTGTTAATCTCCAAAATTTATGAAGTACTTACATAATTCAACAACAAAGAAACAAACAATCCAATCAAAAAATGGGCAAAGGACTTCAACTGACACTTCCCTAAAGAGGACAGTGAGATGGCCTACAGACATGAAAAAACGTAAAATATCATTTATTAAAAGAGAAATGAAAATTAAAACCACATTGAGACGCCCCCTCAACCCGGAGAGAATGGTCCATATAAAAAAGAACAGAATTAACAAATGTTGTTTAGCTGTAGTGAAAAAGGAACTCTCATCCACTGTTGGTGGGAATGCAAGCCCCTGTGGAAAACAGTATAGTGGCTTCTCAAGAAAATAAAAGTGGAAATTCCCCATATGATCCAGCAATAGGTATTTATGCAAATATGAAAACTCTAATACAAAAAAATTTACCTATACTTATATACATAGCAGCACTATTTACAACTGCCAAGTCATGGAACCAACCCAGGTGCCCTTCAACAGATGGTTGGATAGAAAAACATTTTGTCGGTGGAATATTACCCAGCTATGAAAAAGATGAACTGGTGGCATTTGAGGAAAAATACATGGACCTCAAACATATACAATACTGTATATGTTTTAGAGGTATAGGTTCACACCTCTTCAGATAAATGCGACCACACTATATCCACTATCAAAGCATCCATAATCCTCTACCATAGACCATTGGGTTCCATCTCCCTAGCCCCATCCTCCTCTTCTGGTAGCATCAATTCTGCAGCCAGAATTTCTAGGGTATGTTTTTCAGTTGTGTCTTTTCCCTTGTTTGTTTGTTTTTTTCTTTATGTTCATGTGAGTGAAATCATCTGGTATTTGTCTTTATCCTTCTGACTGACTTTGCTTAATATAATTCCCTCCAGTTCCATCCATGTTATTGCAAATGGCAAGTTTTCACCTTTTTTGGTAGCTGGGTATTATTCCATTGTGTGCATGCGTGCGTGCGTGCGTGCGTGCGTGCGTATGTGTATTCAGTGACTGGAATAATTTAATTAATTAAATGACATGTCCTTAGTATCTAAATATATATATTATCACGTCTTCTTTACCCATTCATATGTCTTTAGGTTGTTTACAATAGCCAATTTTTGGAAATTTCCCCCATCATCCAGAAGGCATTATCTTTAA